GGTGATAGACTGGGGAGATGGAAATAATCGGTGTCCTTGATGAGATTATTGTGCTGTGAATGGAGGCATTCTACCTCACTCCTCCCCACTGCTCTGGATACCTAGTTTTGTGAAATAGTAAATTTCCACATTTTTCAAGTCAATATAAGTCGAGATTTTGTGCTGCTTGCTACTACTAAAGGCATCTTAACTGATCTGGGTGCTTTTGAAATTGATGGTGGAGAATTGAGACACCTGCCCATGCTACAGATCCAGTGGCCCTGTCCCTCTCTTAGGTCCCCAAGAAGTCAGGCAGTTTTGCTGACAAAGAAAAGAGTTTTGTGTGTTCAGGATGCAGACTAGAGTGGGTTGAGTTCTGGGTCCTCAGTAAGCCAGGTCTTATTCTGCTGGGGCTGAGATTTACTCTTGGTCTGCTTGTCATTTCCAAAGAGCCCCATAATTGCTTGATTTGCATCTTGAAAATCTCTGATGACTTACAGCAGTAACTAATTAACCAACAGAACACGTTGGGGCATCACCCAAATCTCAACCACATGTGCTTCTTGATGCTTCCAGCCTAGGTGAACCCTAGAACAGTGAAAATAGAGCCCAGATGAATGGGATCCCAGTAAGGGGTCTAGAAAGTTAAGAAATGGCAAGGTCTTGGCCCATAACCCTGCCTTGTGTGGAACTGGCCAGTTGTGTTGATAGATTTTGCCTAGGGCAGGAACCCTGATGAATCCTCAAAGATAGCCCAACGGGTTAAAGGAAAGTCCTCTAGGTGTGCAAGACAAAGATCTGGACATGTCATCTGAGTATCTAGGTTCTTGCCTACCTGGGTCACTCTGTGTGAGCTTTGGCCAAAGACCTGCTAGCCTCAGTTCCCCTGTCAGTAAATGAAGTGGTTGTTTCTCATAAACTCCCAGGCTTTCACAGTGCTAATGTTCTCAAAAGCAGTGGGTCTTTCTCAGTCAGTAGTAATCTTCCAGTCATGCATGAGAACCTGAACAAAGCTTAAACAATTGGACATATATCTGCGTCTTTATTAAGGTACATTTTAATCAAAGTGTCACCCCAATGTTGGTCTTCTGCACGAGTTTGCACAAACAGGTCTGGAGAAAGGAAATGGAGGGAAAGTGCGGGCATTGCTTTTCTATTGATTTCCAATCAACACCACTTCCTGAAACAGAGATTCAAATTCCTATTTGCCTGGCTGGTTAAAGAAACCTTTCTCTTCCACACAAAGAGTGGTACCAGACTTCTCTAGTGGTGGTGGGTTGGCGAGGGAAATGATATTTTGGGTAGAAATGGTAGAAAAATCTTAGCTACAGAAGACTTTTAAATTGACTCATATCTTGAAAGCAATGCTATTTTATATCCACTCTGAAAGGGTAATATCAAACTTATGAAATATTTACTAACTTGGCTGCATAAACAACAAATCACCTCTTTTCCATTAAATATTTTTGTGAAAGATATTTTAGTAAAATACTGCAGCTTGCAATTTAATTACAATGAGTAATTAAAACTTAGAGCATAATCATTTTTGGCAAAAAGTCAGTTTTTGTTAAAATTTTAAGATAGAAAAAAGATGCATATTACGACCATAATACTGTTAGTAATTAAGATAAATGCATCAATTATTAAAGATGCAAACATGTCAAGCAAGCATAACTAATTATTTGAGCATGTTAACAGTTGTTTAATGTTAACAAGCAGTGAATTATTAAAGACCCCATGTGTCACATTCTGGACTGCATAAAATATAATGTTCTGGAACATTTTATGATTTTCAGGTCTTTCTTAGATCTTCTCCATTGGATTAGCCATAAAGTTATGATCACTTGCCTTTAAAATATATTTCTAAAATAATTAGCTGTAATCAGGCTAGGAGAGACCACATCACTGAGTTTGTGTAACAGAGAAAAATGCAGCAGATCCACAGAGAAACTGCAAACCAAGCTCCACGTCTGCAGGAAAGATTTATGCAATTTGGGGGACTGTTTCCCAGTAAAGGTCCAGTCTAGGGGCAGAAACTGGAAAATGTGGTGTCAGTGCATAAAAGCAAAGGGAAGGCATAGATTCTGGGGGGCTTCACACACTTCACAGCTGTATATTTCTTCTTTTTTCTATTTAGAGATACACCTTCTTGAAAACAGCCCTTCACGCAATCATATAATCAAGATGCCAATTAAGACACTTGTATAAATCACATGCAAAGCAATGCTTGGATTATTTTTGACTGTCAAACCACAAATCAATGCCGGCATCGTTCTCACTGGAATTCAACCAATCCTGGGTGTTTCCTTCCTCCAGACACAGAGCAGGGCCCTCAGGGAACCCATCTGTTTATGGGCCTAGAGAATCAGTTGGGAAACATCCCGTTGGGGTCCTAGAGCCCCAATATTCTGAGCCTACTTGGCCTCTTGTCCTCCACTGTTGATCCTTCTGCATGGGAAAAAAGAAGCTTCCCTAGAATCTAACTGAGCCTCATGGGGCCTGAATAAGGCTCTCAAGGGAGCTGGGTGTGAACAGGAGGATAAGAGGAGCAGAAACAGATGGGAGGCTGACCCCTAGCTACCCCTGCCTGGTGCCTGCAGAGATGGCTGCCACACTCCCACAGTCTTCTAGGAATACACCTTCTAATGGCAATCAGAGCAGCTTCCTGTATGCCTGAGACAGCCCATCTTTCCCTTGCACACCAAGGGTCCACTGTCTTCCCATGCTAGAGAAGTGTCAACAGCAGCCACTGATAGAGTCAGCAGCACCACCGGCCCGGCTCAGATCCCTCCGAGCACTCAGCCCTCTACCAGGCTCTGGGAGGTTAACGATAATGCACTGGACACACAGCCTGCTCACAGGGGGCTTGCAGTCTATTCAAAGCAAGACTCGCCAAGAAGAAAGATAAATACAGAAGCAGCTGTGAGGCAGTGGATGATCCTTCCACTCAATAGGAACCTGCTAAAGAGTTCCATGTTTTCATCCTTGCATGAATCTAATCAGGCTTCTTCCAAACATGTACTGTACATAGGCTGTTCCCCACAGAATACCAGGTACAGGAAGTGGGGCGGGGAGTAAGGTGAGGAAAGCCTCCTGGAAAGACAGTGTCGGGCTTACTCTTGAGAATGCATGCTCTGATGGAAGCCACATGGCCAATGGGAAACCAGCTATAAATCCCGCAGGAGAGAGGTCTGTGGCCACAGGTGAAGGGGTGACCAGGGTAGGGAATGGTGAGTCAGAGAAAGCAGGCTGAAGAAGCAGAAGTGGCACCAGCATTCTTCTGTTTCTTCAGGTGACGCACAAGTGCTGAATTAGCTCTGAAGGGGTCAGGAATCTGTACAATCAGCCTTTCAGTCCCATCCCTGAGCAGCAAAGACTTCTCTTCTGCAAGGGACTCCCTTTCCTCCATCAGCTGCTCTCAGAAAGACCCTCAGCCCCAGATGTCCTCAACTGCCTCCTGCTACCAGCACAAACTGGCTGGTGCACACAGCCCAGACACACTGACTGTTCTCCTGCTACCTCCCACTTCCATACACAGCAGGGTCTTCATGAAGTTCGAGTCTCTGGGGAACCCCTTGCCCCACCCACCAGGCACAGGCCGGGGAGAAACCCCAGCAGTTTTGCGCTCATAATTGTATACTCTTATTCTTAGAGGGCCTCTCAAATTGTTTAAGTTTTAGCCCCCCCTCAAAACCTAGTCCTGCTCCCAAACCAGCCTCTGGCCAGCCTAAGGTAGGAAATTGGCTCCTGTGTCCCTACAGCCCCACCCCAGGTATGCCAAGTCGCCTGGTCACAGTACAGTCAGTCACGGCACAGGAGGCATCTCAGGGCAACATCAGAGTGGTCAACTTGCCCCTTCCTCTCCCAAATCCTACACAATCACCTTAGGACCAGGCCCTGCAGAGACTAAAGTTGCCTGGCTGTCTCCTGTCTGGATCATGGAGGGCTAATGGCATGAGGGAAGTCATACCTATTGGAAGATCCGGCCCTAAGTAGAAATATCACTCTGCTCCTCGCATGTTCCTTGCATTTAGGAAGCAAATATCATTTGCCAGCACTGAGAAGGAGAGTTTTTGCAGGGATACAAGGAATAGATCAGGCTCAGCCTCAGCTGAGATTGGCTTATAGAGCTTGAGTCTCCTAACCTCTCACAACGGAGGTCTCTCAATGTCTGAGTGAGTTCCATAGAAGTAAAGAGGCTGGGAAGAGAACGTTTGGGACCTGAGTGCCTGGGATCAGAGATGAGAGATGATAAACAATGACGGTTCCACTGGGTCTGGTCCCCAGCTCCACCCCAGCCCCTGAGCTGAGCCCTGTGGAGGGAGGAACATTCTTCTAAGCTTTGATCAGAATTCAGCTAACTCCGGTGGAAAGAAATGCAGGGCCACTGAGTGTCTCTGGACTTGGCAGATCTGCAAGGAACCCAGTTCTCAGGAGGGATGGAAGATCAGAGGACACCACATTTCCCGGGAGGAAAAAGAGCATCAATTTCAGACAGGCTTGAATAGGTGGGGAGAACATGCAAGACCCTCCTGGGACGACAGAGCATTTAGTTAATACATACACATGCCACACTGCAGCTGCCCATCAAAACTTCTCTCTCTATGTGCAAGGCAGTGGCACCCAAGTCCTTGTGACCAGTGGATTATGAATTGAAGGGGAATGTAGAACTCTGAGAATCAGCTCTGAAGACAGCAGTGGGCCTCCGCTGTGCTCTCCCCATCCCACCTGCTGGGTGCTGGAGGTGACAAGACCTCACTGGATGGGGAGCCTCAAGGTGGACAGAGATCTCCCCACCACTTTGCACACCCTAGACTGCTGTATACAGGACACATAAACTTCCACTGTGTTTGCATCGCTACATTTTGGGGTCTGTGTAACAGAATTTAACCCACCCTAACTAATACAGCACGTAGAAAAAAAAATGCATGTATTAACGCCATTGGGATACAACATGGAAATGTGTTAAATTTTCTTGGGAAAACACAATATCCAAGAGAGGCTCGTTTGCCTGCACGTGCCATCCAATCAACCAGGGTCACAGGTGGGGCTGGCACTGGGGTCCCTCCTTTCCCATCTAATATCATTTTCACTGATGTCTCTTTGTCCTGCACATTTTCTCTTCTTTCAGCATCCACTGGCGGCAGCTCTAGGTAAAAAGCAAATCCTAACTTAGTTAAAGGAAGCTCCAGCAAACCTGGCATTTCTCCACTATTGTTTTTATGAACCATTTATAAAAGCCAGGATGAGCTCTCTGTTGGAACTCACGGTCACCTGAACCACTGAGAACACCGTCCTCCATGGCAGGATGGAAAGAGCCCAAGAACCTTCCACGGCATTCTAAATCCTGGAGCTGCCGGCATTCCAGATCCTGAAATTGTGGGTCTCCCATCTCAAGCTTGAACACTCACGGCTGAATTAGAGTGTACTGCTGGCACCGCGCCAAATGCATTCCTTCATGTGTCAGCCCTGAATCTCTTCATATGTTAGGGTGAGCTGCGTGTACACTAGTTTCTTCACTTCCAAGGCAGTTTCACCATCTGTTTCTATTATGGGAGTTTATGGCACAGAATACCTCAGACACCAGAGCCTCCATTTTTTTCCTGGCGTGCAGTTAAAGCACTTTATGAACAGAATGATTAAAAGGTAGGGGCCTCCTTAATTTTTCCCCATTTTTCTTGGCACATTATGGAATTCAGAAGGATTTTTACAGTTCATTTTATGAAGATGAAAGGTGATTTGAAAGAAAATTAAGAAATTATCGGGGAATGTAAATGTGGCTGCAACTCAGCTTTTAAAAATCCTTTAATCTCATCATGATTAAGTGGATTTCTCATATTGTTTCCTAACTACATATACTTAAGAAGGCAAAATTCAAGCATATTCTGAAATTTGCAAATAATTCTGGAATTTGATATCACAGAGGCTCCCATATCTCTGTATTTTAAAACCAAATTAAGACAGCTACACTCTGAAGCTTTTAGTCAAAGGGTTTTGGGTGCATTTTGTATCACATCCACACAGATGATCAAACCATATAGCTTTTAAGGCAGGAGATGAAAGTGTTGAAATCCCACATAAAAACGGTACTTCTCAGGATCTTCCACGAACATGAAATAGGTCTACTTTGCACACACTCATTTACACACACATTTTTCTGTATAGCCAATATACAGAATAATCAATGTGGTCTACACAATAGTTAGAGAGACTGTTCACTGTAGCACTTTTTTTGGCCTATTCATGCCATTAGTTGTGTGTCCATAGAAGATATTAAAATCGTTAATGATTAAAGATGACCTGTGACACCCTGACAATGAACGTGGTGGTAAAAAGTAAGGAGAAGCTGGAGGACTTACTACAACTTGCACGGAGGAGGAACAATTGTATCATATGAAATCCCCAAGAAATCTCCTTTGTCTGGGGAAAGACCTGTGTACGGAGAGCAAATGGAACTTGAATCATCGAGGACTCTTCATGTGTGTTCAAGAAAGTGCCTGCACTTTCATGCTATCTCACAGTCATGGGTAGCTTTCATGTTAAAGAGGGGAAGATGGGAAGGAGAATTTGGAAGAGGATGTGCAGGAGAAGGGAGGTGTAACTTCAGGCTGGAGGTATGTGTCAAAGTCTCCACGTTGTCATGGCTGTACCACAGTGAGAGATCAGACACTTGTCCGTGCTCTTGGAGGACTCATACATGCACATGAATACCCTGGATGAGCCTATTCTCCCCTCAACAGTTCTGGCTGGTTCCTGGAAAACAGCCCACCTCTACCTTCTGTCCTCTGTTCTTTTCCTTCAAAAGTGTGCACTTTCTTGACCTGCTCCACAATTCCAAGCTGTGCTTTGTGGAGAACAGCTCAGTGTTCTGCATCCTCAAGGGCAGGGCCGTGCCCAGAGGCAGAGCTGGGTCTCCCACTACTGCAATTGCCACTTCCTTGATTTACGCCCCAAGTCCTTAGAGAACACGAGGTAAGGCCCACAGATGGAGAGCCCACCTGAGGCCCTTTCATTGCAGGTGTGCAGGCTCCATCAAAGAAAACTATGTAGAGATGCCAGAGCTGTGGCTGTCCTCAGTGAGCAAGGAGACACCAGGGACCTCTGCAGAAGCTCTTCTACTTTAAGATAATTTTGTTTTTTCCCTCCCAGCAGGGACTCCTCTAAAAGCAGGTGAGGTTTAAAGGGGGAAAAAAAAAGTGTCCTTGAGATCCAAGGAGCAAACGTAAGCATGCGGCTCTTTAGTGATCACTGATGAACTCTTTAGCTGCATCTCACAGCAAGCAGAAATGGAGAAAATGGCCACCTTAGACTCCCTGTGCCACAAAGAGACATCTTTGGCAAAGCTGATGGGTTGGCACACAACAGATACTGCACAGGGTAGTGCTAGACAGGCTGTGTTGTCGCTTGCTTCTTCGAGCTGCTGCCATTTCACCGTATATGGATTTGTCTTCTTGGTTGAGGTGAGTTGTGGGTTTCTCCTGGGTGTGGAGACTTATGCAGGAGCAGAGCAACCTCTAAGAGCAGCCATTCAGCTCATCCTAAACCACAGAGCGTGAGGCTATAGGCACACACTAGGGCTAAGAACTAAAAATGCCTTAATCAGATTACAGCATCCCCTGGGATACATAATAGCCCTCCTAGTTACCCAATACAGTGATTCTTCCCCCTTCTATTACAAGGCACGCTTCCCCAAACTAGAATTATCATGAGCATCCATGAAGGGATTGCATTACATCAGCAGGTGTTGGTCTACCCACCTGGCTCCCTGTAGTATCAGGCAGTTGTGATGCTCAGTTAGTTGTGAGATAATTAAAGGACTTTACTCAAAGTTGTCATGTGTGCTAGTGAGCACATGGTCTCTACACTGATGCATTATACCTGATTCTACAAGATGTATTTTTACCTGGCCAGGAGTACCCTCGGTGAGGTGGCCAGTAATACTAGTGCGTGTTCCCATCTCAATAGAGATAATTCCACCTCCTTCATTCAGTGGCTCTGCTGAGTCCTCAGGAGGCAGTGGGCTCTAGAAAATTGGCCGCTGCTGGTGTCAGATCTCAATAGAAAGCTGGTTTCCAGCACAGCAGCAGTGCCTTCCTCCAGAGTCCCAGCACACCCCATGCTCTCTGGACCCCAGACTTGTCTCTCCAACTTTCACAAGTCCCTAGAGGACAAGACTGCATCATAGCAAACTTTCTATCTGCTATCTTAGCACAGTGCCAGGCAAAATATATATATGCAATAGATGTGTGAGAAAAAATGGCTTATATCACACATCACACTCTTTCGTTTACTTAACGTTTATTGTGGAAAATTCCAACACACACCCAGTAAAGAGAATAACATAATGAACTCTCATTTACATACTTCCCAGCTCTAACAATTATCTATTATCAAGGCCTGTCTTGTTTCATCAATTGCACGAGCTCTCCACCACCACCAAAGCAAAGTATTGTGACAAAAAAACCCCAACTATTACACTCTTTCATCAATAAATATTTCAGTTTGTACTTCCAAAAAAACAACATCACATCGTATCTAATGTGAGCAGAATATCATCAAATGTACAGTTAGTTTTAAAACAACTTAATAGACAACAGGAAAAATTTTATTACTTCTTGGTTTACAGTTGGTTTATTCAATTTTTAATCTTAGATTTTTTTCTCCCTGTCTTTCCTCTATATTTTTATTTTTTGAAAAAAACATGTCATTTGTCCTAGAGAAATTTCTTCATTCTGGATTCTGCTGATTGCATCTCTATTGTGTCCTTTAACATGTTTCTCTATCCCCTGTATTTATTTTCTGTAAATCGATACTTAGATCTAGAAGCTGGGTGTGATTCAGGCTTGGAAGTACATGACACCCAGCTATCTCTTTTCTTGTGCTGTCAGTAGCCATTAATAATTATTACCTAAATCTCTTTTTTTCAGGAATTAAAAAACCTATCAGCCTTTCTACCTTCACTAGTTGCCATACTTCTATAAAGAGTAATTTCTCTTCTCAACTATTTGGCTAGTCTGAGGTATAGCTCTCACAGCAAATGCAAGTTAAGTGCTGGATTCTTTTTCACTTGCCTTTGCCAGCTTTCACAATAATGAATGGATGATGTGGCCTCCAAAGGTGACTAATAAGGTGTTTGTCTGATTTTTTAAGTATTACTGTGAACAAGTGGATTTTAACAAGTTTAGTGTGATTCCAGCTATTGTGGTTAATATTCACATTGAAACTCTCTGACCATGTAACTTTTCATGTCTCTGACCAACAGAAGCCTCATGTTGGCTCTTAATTTTTTTTGACACAATGCCAGGTATCCTGGAGAGCCTTCTTGCTTTCTTACATGACAAGTTGTTCTGCAGGACTTGCCCTGAATCTGGGATCAGCCATTTCTCTAAGGAGCCCTGATTCATTTTGGTGAAAGTGGTATTTAGAGACCACAGTCTGGCTGTAGAGATTCTCAGCATGCCTGGGTTGGTCATCATTTTCAGGTCTTTTCACTGAACAGACAGGAAATAACTCTCCTTTCCCAGGAGAAAATACATCACAAATTCTAACTGACATTTTTAATTCAAACTTAGGTTTTAATTTTGATTTTCTATTTGTATTTCTTTTCTTATGCAAATGCTCTTCTAGTAGCATTAGCATAATTACTTCATTGCTTCTTCCTACTACATACATGTGTGAAAGAAAGAGAATTTCAAAATGACAATACCAATATGATTACTAATAATATGATACTGAAAACCATGTTGGCAGTTCCTTTTTGCCCTTAGGATATAACCCATTAGGGAAGCTATTTTGAATTCACCTAAAGCAAATTATCTCTGTAGGTTACATAATCAAATCAACACATATTTAATTTCATTTTGTTTTTTTGGGGTTTTTTTTTGCCCTTGGTTTGTAGGAACTGATTTTTTTAAATTTTGAATTAATTGTGTTTGATAATTATATAAAATATCTATTGGGTTCCTAAATTAATTTCTCAAACCAAGTCTATTCAGCCAAGTCTAGCTTCTCTCTCTGTCCCTTGTACTCATTCTCTTTCCTCCACTTATAACCACACGTATGACTTTTAACTTTATTTATTTAATGTACAACGTATATTGGCATCCCCCTTGTCTTAAATAAACAAGAGCATGCCCTACCTCCTGTTCTCTATCTTGCTTTGTTTCACAGAACTCTTTTTCTTGGAGATCACTGTGGAATATAGAGACACCACTCTTTTTTACAGCTGCAGAGTCCTCCCTCTTGGAATGCCCCTCATTCTTAAAACCAAGAGAGCCACCTAGAGTGAAATGCTACAAATCATCAAGTGTAGCATTTAAGCACAGCCTTTTTGGTTGTGGAAGGTCTCAGTGAATTTAGATAAGAATCGCTGAAGCAAACCTGGACTTCAGT